CCCCAAAACCCCAAAACCCCAAAACCCCAAAACCCCAAAACCCCGTAAACTTTGCACTATAATGAAAGTGTTATAATTATAAAATATTTATTATAAAATTAAATATGTTTGGAAAATTCTTCAGACAGTCTCTTGCAAAGGGAAAGAACCTCAAGACTCTGAACAGGCTTTCTGCCATGAACTTCAGGTCTACTCCAGCTGCCAGCCAGAAATTGGGCATCGGAGATGCTGCTGATATTTTGGAGCAGAAGATTTCAGGAATTTCACAAGTGGTAAGTCCTTTTCTTAGTAATATCTATAGAACGATATTAAGGAATTCGGTAAAGTTATTTCCTTCGGAGATGGTATTGCAAGAGTTTTCGGACTTACTAAGGTCCAAGCAGGAGAAATGGTTGAGTTCTCCTCAGGAGTCAAAGGTATGGCCTTGAATCTTGAGACTGATAATGTTGGTATTGTCGTCCTTGGAAATAATGACAGAGATATTTTCGAAGGAGACTCTGTTAAGAGAACTGGAGAGGTGACAAATATCCCCATTGGAGAGGGCATGCTTGGAAGAGTTATTAATACTTTGGGAGAGGCAATTGATGGAGGTGACCCTATCCACACCACTGAGATTAAGTCTGTTGAGGCTAAAGCTCCAGGAATTATTGTGAGAAAATCTGTGCATGAGCCAATGCAGACCGGACTTAAATCAGTTGATTCATTGGTCCCAATTGGAAGAGGACAAAGAGAGTTGATTATTGGTGATAGACAGACTGGAAAGACTGCAGTTGCCATTGATACTATCTTGAACCAAAAATCTGGATTTGCTGAAGGAATCGACCCCAATCAGAGACTCTATTGTATCTATGTAGCTATCGGACAAAAGAGATCGACTGTTGCCAATATTGTCAAGGTACTCAAAGATAATGATGCCATGAAATATTCCATTGTCTTGGCTGCTACTGCTTCTGAAGCTGCTCCACTTCAATTCTTGGCTCCATATTCTGGATGCGCTTTGGGAGAATATTTCAGAGACACTGGAAGACACTGCTTGATCATCTATGACGATCTTTCCAAGCAAGCTGTTGCTCATAGACAGATCTCATTGTTGTTGAGAAGACCCCCAGGTAGAGAGGCTTATCCAGGAGATGTCTTCTACTTACATTCCCGTCTTTTGGAAAGAGCAGCTAAACTTCATGAAGGTCATGGTGGCGGTTCTCTGACTGCTTTGCCAATCATTGAGACTCAAGCTGGTGATGTATCTGCTTATATTCCAACAAACGTTATTTCCATTACCGATGGACAGATCTACTTAGAATCCGAATTATTCTTCAAGGGAATCAGACCAGCCATTAACGTTGGTCTCTCAGTATCCAGAGTAGGATCTGCTGCTCAGATTAAGGCCATGAAGCAAGTTGCTGGATCCCTCAAATTGGAATTGGCCCAGTACAGAGAAGTTGCCGCCTTCGCTCAGTTCGGATCAGACTTGGATGCTACTACTCAGAACTTGCTAAACAGAGGTGAGAAATTGACTGAATTGCTCAAACAAAAGCAATATGTACCAATGAAAGCACAAGAGCAGGTATGCTTGCTCTATGCCGGAGTCAGAGGATTCTTGGATAAGCTCGAAACATCAGAAATTGCCAAGTTTGAGACCCTTTTCTTAGAAAATTTGAATGCTAAGCACACAAACGTGCTAGATTCTATTGCTAAGCATAAGGAATTGTTGCCAGAAGTTGATGAAGAGTTGAAGCAAATCTTGACCGACTTCATTCCATCAGCTGGATTAAAGATGAAACAATAATCTCTAATAAGAGCACGTTTATTCAACCTGATTGAGCCTTCAAGGGGTTTTGGGGTTTTGGGGTTTTGGGGTTTTGGGG